AGCTAGGCTCGTCGCACTTGCTGCACATCCCTCCTCAGCCACGTCTCCAGAAAAAACGGATTATACTCGAGCAACAATTATTATTCCTTAGACATGAAGTTATGCCTCCCGGGGCCAGTCTGGACAGCAAACAGCAAAGGCATTGATTAACCCAGGAAAAAATGATCGTCAGAGATGCATTGGGTCACCAGTCGATCCTGTGCCAAAACAGCCAAACATATTCAATCTGACACGGACTAACTTTGCCCAGGCTGGTGGTTTTCCAATTTCAAATCACAGGATAAAAAAGTTTCGAGTGGCAAAAATGCTTTATAATGACCAAAAAATCACTCAATTACTTTGGACAGAGCATTCGTGACCCCGCGCGACGGTGATTGTACCGTCGTGAGAGCTAGGGAGCGTAAGTAACCTAGCCCGGAAGAACAAGAAAACCGGGCTAGACTGAAGAACGCAGGCGGTTTATAGCGGACAAGTGGGAACAGTAGGCCGCTAGTATCAGCTGCTACGGCTGTCAGGGTCTCTGTCAAGACCCCAGGAAGAGCGGGACAGATAAGTTCCGTTAGCAGTCGGGTGAACGTTCATCGATGAGCTGGAACAGTAGGTTGGTCTTCGGCGATTGCCTCCATCACACGTTTTCCCTGACCTACGGACTTAATTGACCCCAAATATGTTGCCCAATTAACCATAATCTATTGCACATCAGCAGCAGTAGCAGTAGAATATGAAAATTTTCCCCTCCTCCTGCCACTCCAATATTCACTTGATCCAATGCAGTAGTCGTTCAGTGTTGTAACGCAACTGTGCGTTGATTTAAATCGTCTTGCATGCCATGTAACCTGGAGTTGTGAGAGGGACATTTAGACGTCGTCAATAGGGGGGTGGAGATGGTGGGGGATGTAAACAGGAGTCCAGAAAGTAAGCATGTGATTGAACTAGCGGAAAGTGAATGACTCCAAAAAGTAGACAGGAGGAAAGTGCATAACACGGAATATTTGTTGCAGAGGAAAGTGTGTGTGTCTATATATGCATACCTATACAGTGAACAGTTTCAAAAAACAACTTACATCAATACTAGCTAGGAATTCTTCAATGTGAACATCGAGGTCCTTAGGGTGTAGTTTAGATTGGATAAGAACGCGGATACCTTGCATGGAGCTCGATCGATGCCAGCCCAAACTCACAACGTAACCTGTTAGGAGGGTTGAAAAATTGTAAAAGCGAATGGAATCAGGGAATTTTACGGGCAATAAAAATAAAATCTGCATTTGCTCTCACTTTTGCATATAAATTCGAAGCTACGAAGTAGTCAGCTCCCAAGCAGCATTCTGTTTCAAAACCGAGGCACCGTTAGCCAGGACTGCAGGTCAAAGCAACAGTATTCTACCACCGCCACTCGACTGTCGCCTGCTCCAAAGTCGCCGGTTTTCGTCAATTTCCCCAAGCCGTTTCCTGGACAACGAGATGAGGGTAGCCGTTGCGATTTAGCGTGGGCGTACGGACTGTCCTTAGGAGGGATAAACTAGGCAGGCGATCGGCCAATCAGAGTATAGTCTACCCCTAACGTGTGCATTTTAACTGTCTGCAGTAAGCTGATGACGCACGTAGAAAGCAGGGAGAAGACGGAGACCAAACTGGGAAGGTGCATCATTTTTTATGGCACCAGCAGCCTCTACCGCAGACGGAAGGGGCAGTCGCCTTGCAACAGCAAAAGTACCCGGTTGTGCCATAGTGATACTAACCTCCGCATATTTGCCGCATTTTATAGAACAATGGCCTCGCAAAAAGACCACTGTTATTGACATCCGAGAGCTTGGTCACAGTTTCATCACCACCACCAGATGCTGTAAACTGCTAACCAGAACTAATACAAAGCAGAGGATCCGTAAAGGACACAGTAAACTCAAGATTCCTGAAACAAGTGCTTACCCAGCTGCTTCTCAGTACGTAGTTTGCTAAAAGCGGCCTCCGAGAAGACTTGCACAAAGAGGCGGTGGAGTGCATTGTCAGCTGTATTATTTGTCGCACACTGGAGGTAGAGGAGGATTGCGGAGGACGGTTGGTGTCGGTTGGGTTGGGTGTACACGTGCGATTTTCCTAAAGGGAAAAAGAACAACATAATTGGGGGCAGAGAACTGAAAATAGAATTAGCCTGTGTATTGCATAAACCAAGTACTTCCAAAGTAGTAGATACGCCGTAATGAATTGCTGAAGCTATAGTTTCCTCTGTTAACAGGGAAATATGAAATGTGGAATTGCAAAATTATTTGGATCTTTACATTTTTGATGTTGTGACTAACCAGACTAACAGCCTAGGTACTTGCTAAAAGGCCCAGACACGTGTTTCGCTGGTAT